AACACAGCGGCCGTCCCAGCCGTAACATGAAGTGATTAAACAGCAGCAAGAGAGCATCAGAGCTCTGCGTGCACGTTTCAGACAGCAGGTTGATATGTTTGAAATATAAAGACATGATTAGGAATAGACTGGGGTGATCGTTTTATTCTAAATTATAATATATAAAGGTTTATGTGGCTGATTGTCTTTATTGGGGCGTGTGGAGACACCCCTGTGGATCGTGGGCGGGGCTTATCTGGTATAATTAGCAGTCAGAGAGCCCTTTGGTTTGCTGTGCTTCACAGCTGCCATGTAAGCTGGCGAGCTGAAGCTTCGATAAATAAAAATATGAACTCGATTTGCTCGTCTCTGCCTGCGTGAGTCTTGCTGCTCGAGGTCATTCCTTACATACACGTTCAGTATGAGACGGAGAAAGACAGGATATGTGACATAACGAGCTCCACAAAGCCTCGTTTTATCTCAGATACATATCCAGATGTGCGTGTCAGTATGAATTGAAGAAATCAAACACCAGCAAATCAGAGTTGTGGGCGGCTGCAGAGAGACTCACATTTACATTAAAGCAGTGACTGTTAGCACTGAATCAGCTTCACGGGGACAAATGAAGACGAGCGAGGACGGCAGAGCTGTGTTTACACGTCGCAGTGAAAATACTGTCACCTCATAACGACTGCTGAACGCAGAGCACGAGGAGGTCGGGCTGTTTGAAATGCAAATGTAGCGCGATGGGAGCCGGCTGACGAGCGGAGCTCTGATTAGAGAAAGCTCAACGCTCCAACCTTTTTATTTCCTGGTTTCAGCGCCGTCTAATAGAAGCTGCCTCCTCTGATTTCCTTTATGTCACCGTGCAACACACAGAAACACAAACAATCAAACAGGGAAACTGAAATCCGAGCAGACACACGGGAAACTGTACATTCAGCACAATCCCACTGCTTCCCCTCAGAGTTCAGTGCGTGCCAGCGGCATGAATAATGCACGTTAATGTTGTGCACCTCGCTCTTCAATGAATAATGAACATATATCCATTTCTCCTCCCTCTTTCTTTCCATCTTACTGTCGGTCCATTTCTCAGAGATGCCAGCTGGAGAGATGAGCTGTTTGAGGATGAAGGAATGAGAAGGAAGGAAGACGAAAAGGAGAGGAACCTCAGCCAGAGGAGACGAGAAGGAGAGAGGAGGATGTTGGGAGTTTTGTGAAAGAGGACGGGCGAAGAAAAGGTTCAGTTTTTTTACTTTCAAGTGGAAAAGTCCAAGAAAAGACAGACAGACTGTCAGTGACAGAAGCTGAGTGAGTGAAGGAGGAAACATCTGGATGGTCTCCAGTGTTGCGGCCTTCAAAGATGGCCTCCAACTTCAATGACATCGTCAAGCAGGGCTACGTACGCATGCGCAGCCGCAAGCTGGGGGTGAGTGGGCGTTTCAGATTTAAACATGATCTT